CAGTGCCTAATGCACCCCGGGCCGCCGGCGCGGGGCCGGCGGCGGGGCCTGCTCAGGCCCCCAGAAACGAGCCCCTCCTTACGGCCCTCGCTCTCTGCCCGGATCCCTCCGCGAGAAGTACACGCACCAAACCGGGACGTGGCTCACTGCTCAGCCAGAGCCCCGCACACAGCGGCCACGCCTCGGCCACCACACCGGGGCGTGACGACCCGAGGGCGCCAGCCCAGAGAGTGAACCAGCACCTGCCCAGCACCTGCGCCACGGAAGCGCTGCTGGGACGCAAGCCGCGGAGGGTCGGACCGGAGATGGAACCGCTGGGCCCAGCCAGCGCCTGCCCCAGGCCAGAGCCCCCGAGAGCCCGGGTCTCCCTCGGCCGCTCCGCCGGGGAGGGCCGGTGTGCTTCTTAAAACAGATATCAAGGGTTTGCCTCTGAGCCTTCGAGGTCTGAGGAGTCCCCAATCCTGCCTCAAGGTAGGAGTTGGAGCTTAGATAAGAAGCTGTGTTTGCATCAACACTTTAGGGACCAGAAGACCCAGCCTTCCTGGGCAGACCCCCACAGACCATTGTGAGTTTGGGCAGGATGTGTGGACCACCAACCAATATCTTTGCCTGAGGGCCTTGTCCAAAGGTCAGGAGGAACAGGTCCCACAGGCCAAGAGTGCAGACCAAAGAAACCCAAGGAAGGCTCAGAGGACTGGGTAACTCTTTCTGGCACTGGTCCATGCCAGCAGTTCTAGGCTCTATCGGGGAGCAGGGGGTTGCTGCCCAGCTTTCCCCAAGGAACCCTGGGCTGGCACAGTGAGGATTATACCCCAGATGTAAAAAGCCAGGGGCTGCATGGGCCCCAGACCTGGCCTGGATTCTGGAAGACTCCTAGAGAGGGACAAAACTGAGTTCCCCACATCAGCAGAATGGCCAGGCTGAATGGAAGGAGGAAGTAGGTCTGAGTTTGGGATGGGATGCTGGGGAGTGAAGAATGGACAGTCCCACGACCAAAGCCAGGCACTGACTCCAGTCTCTTCTGGGTCTTCTATCAGGGCCAAGCCAGAGACCTTGGGAAGGTCCACAGGAGGACAGCTGAGGACACTTCCCCTGGGCTTTGGCTGCTTTGAAATGTTTTCCCTTTTTCTGTAAGCGTGCTCAGGTTTATCCAGCGCTTTGGCCTGGCCTGGGCACTGCTGGCTCTGTTGTCCTGAGGCGCACTGATGTTGCTGGCTGTAACACCAACACTAATCTCTGCTTCAGTTCCACAGCGCTGTACCTAGCCCTGTCCATCTGTAAGTCTCCTCCTGGCCTGGTATCAGACTATCAGACGTTGCTCTGTGTGTGTGTGAGAGAGCCTGCTTGCCTGCCTGTCTGTGTCTGCCTGTCCTGGGGCTTGAGGCTCAGGACAGCTCCACTTGTGGCTTTTTTGGTAGTTAATTGGAGATAAGAGTTTCACGAACATTCCTGCCCAGGCTGGCTTTGCACCACGATCCTCAGATCTCAGCCTCCTGAGTAGGTAGGATGACAGGCGTGAGCCACTGCATCCAACTCAACCTGGCATTTTGATGGCAGTCTCTCCAGCTAAGGGTTCTGTGTGATGGCCGCTGAGCAACGTGATGGGCCAGGTTAATGTCAGGCCCTAGGGTGGCCCTGCCCTGTGCCCAAACAGCACTAAGTGTCCTGGAAGGCCACCTTCGGCCAGGCATCCAAGGTTGGAGACTTTGAAGCAGGGGAATCAAGTTCCTGGAAAGAGATTTGAAATCTGCGCCGAGCTCAGCCAGGAGGGGAGGAGGAGCCTTCCCCGGCGCCTCTCCTTTCCCCGGGGGGGCCAGAGGGGGGCAGGCCACCCCTGGGCACCTCCGTGCCTCCCACAGTAACCGGGGCGCGCGGGACCACGAGGGCCGGAATAGCTGGCGACGTCCGCCCGGGGAGCCCCGCGGAGGGACCGGGAGAGCCAGGCGCCGCCGCCCGGAGGGCGCCTGGGGACACCGGAGAAAGCCGCTTTGTCCTTCCCGAGGCCCGGGTTCGCAGGGGGACAGAGAGGCCTCTGTGGGGACAGCGCCCAGCTGGCTGGAGCCTCGGATTCTCTAGGGGCCTCCCAGTTCTAGGGAGCGGAGCCCCGGCATCCGGTGCTCGCGGCCGGCGCCGCCGGCGACCAGGGCTTCACCCCGAGGTGGCCCGGGGACGCCAAACCCCGCCCTCCGGGGCGGGAGCGG